CAGTTCAAAGCCAGCCAGGGCAGGAAAGTCCATGAGACTGATACCTCCAATGAACCACCAGAAAACTAGAAGTGGCACTGTGGCTCAAAGTAGTAGAGCAACTAGCCTTGAGCTGAAGAGCTGAGGGACAGCGCTCAGGCCCAGAGTTCAAGCCCCACAACCAACAACAACAACAAAAAAAAAAGCCAGACTGGAGCTGTGGCAAATGGTAGAGCACCAGCTTTACTCAAAAAAGCCAAGAAGCGCACAAGAGGCCAAGTTCAAGCCCCAGGACGGGCATACACACTGGTACACATGTACACACACACATACACAGAGCACTCTCACTACACAGAGCACTCTCACCGTGAAGCAGAAAGCAACGCAAGGCTAGGCGCACGAGAAGCTGCCAGCAGCCTGTGCAGGCGGCGCTGGCCCCGCGTTCTGCTGCTGCAGGCCTCAGGTGTTCCCAGCCCCGCGGTCCAGCAGCATTCTCCTGTCAGCACGATCGCAGGGACGGTGCACCCAATCTCAACTTCAGCCTGTGTGGCAGGCAGGCCTCTTTTCCCAGGACACTTGCACCCAGTGGAGCAAATCCCAACGCCAGGTCCCTGTGTCCTGAGAATGGTAGCAGCAGGCTGGAAAGTGTGCTGAGAGTAAGGCCCTCGGGAAAACACGGCCTCCCTGCTTCTTTTCTGACCCACTCAGGACAGTGGCCCCACCCCACCTACACCTCTTCTGACACCATCTACCGTCAGAAACCCTGTCACTTAAGAACACGGGAAGCCCCTAACTTTGGGCCAGCCTCATACTGCGTCAGCAAAAAAAAAAAAAAAAGCACAAAAGTACCTTGTCATCTCCTGGCCACAGGACACCTTATGCAGGCCGGTGCCGACCATCAGCAGCTGCTGGCTCTGCCCCAAAGCCCCCAGCTGGGCTGTTGGGAGAAACCTGAACACCATTACAGGAGCACGCACAGCGAGGCGCATCTCTGCTCAGAAATCTATTTCTGAAAAAGTTTCCCTAATGGGCTGGGAAGGTGGCTCAGCGGTAGAGTGTTTACCTCGCATGCATGAAGCCCTGGGTTCAATTCCTCAGCACCACATAAGCAGAAAAAGCCAGAAGTGGCACTGTGGTTCAAGTGGTAGAGCACTAGCCTTGAGCTGAAGAGCTGAGGGACAGCGCCCAGGCCCAGAGTTCAGGTCCCATGACCAAAAAAAAAAAAAAAAAATTCCCATAATCCATGTTGCAGATATTTAACACAAGTGAACAGAAAATCTAGGATGATTCGTGTTAGCCTCTGCTGCGCCTCCTAGAACCAGAAGCTGGGTCTGTAAGAAACCTTGTAGGAAAGACACACTAGTTCCGGATCACTCTGCAGACACCGGGCCTGCAGGCCATCCAAACCAAGCAATGTCTCAACCGGCAAACTCAAATTCCTAGAAGGGCAAGCGATCCTCCTTGCGCTTGTGTGTGCGTGTGCATGTGCGTGTGTGTGTGTACGTGCGCACTTGTGCATGCGTGAGTATATGAGAGTGTGTGTGTGTGTGTGTGTTTCTCTGCAGGGCTCTGTGGCGCATCTCCTGAGGTCCCTGATGCCTGAAGAAGCAGGAAGAGGAAGGTAGCTCCTGAGATTTCTGGCTCTCTGGCTCCAGAGCCTGACATCAAAGGCTCCTGCAAATCCCTTTTCTCCAGAACCTTCTCTATGGAGAAAAGGGGTCATTGCCTGGCGCAGGAAGCCTGCTGCATAGGCAACCACGACCCCTCCACTGTCTGTCAGACAGTCTCAGAAAAGCTCACCTGCTACCACCAAGGCACATCCCTGGTCACCAGCTGGAGAGAAAGTTCTGTGTTAGACCGTTCTATAACTGCAATTCCGGGGATACAGCGGCCAGTCACCAAGGCTTCTTGGAAACTAAGGGCTCACATGCAGCCCCCCAGGAGGCCCAAGGAGGCCACTAAGACTCAGAGAGTTAGAGGTGCTAAAGGAAGCGAGCCCAGCGCCTTGGCAGCTGAGAGGGTAAGAAGGCGCTCTGGAAACTGTGCTCTTCTAGCAAAGGCAAGGCCTAGACTTCCAGGGAACTCAGGGAGCAGCCTTGTCCTGCCCGGTGCTTGCGGAGTCTCCACTTCTCCCCACAACCTCCCTGGAGGCCGAAGAAGCATGCACACGGTGTTGGGAGAGCCTGCCACCATGCAGGGTGCACACGCGCGCACACGCGCACACACACACACAAAGTTGTCATGACAGCTCGGGAACCCGTTAGATGCTTTTCAAAAAGGAGAGTGAAGGATTTGCTGTATTACAGATTGGCAGAAATTACTCCCTCTCAGCCTGCTGTGGTGCAAATTCAAATACTCCAGAGATTAAACTTTAGAGCCGAGACAGCTTTTCTCCTGAGCACTCCATGGTGGGGCAGGTGGGACACAGCCCGCCCGCAGGGTTACACACCTGGTATCAGCTCGGCGGGCGCGACACTGATTTTTCAGCAATAGATAGCTAAGTTTGTTAACCATAATTGCATGACCCTAAGGTAAGCATTACATGACATAATTCTCTGTCACTTCTCTCAGAAGAGGTTTAATTTTAGTGTTGGCTCTTCCGCCCTGTCCCCGTTTTTTTTTCCTCTAAGCATCTTAGCTGTGTGTCAGTTTCCCAGTGGTGGAGTTCCTAACTGGCAAGGCAGACAGGCAGCGGCGCAGCAGCACCCTCCTCTCACTCGCGTGCACCCAGACACCGTGCAGAAGCGCAGACACGGGGCTCGGGCCTCCTCCGCCAGGCTCCGTCTCTGAAAGCTAGCTCCTGTCCGAGGAGCTTCGCTGGGTTGGTGGCTGGCACTGATAATGGCAGCATTTAAAGGGAGGTACTTTCCTCATCACTCACAGTCAGTGACCATCTCCCAGCTCCGTCCACCACACAGACATCGGCAGGACTCTCCCACAGCCACCGCTAGCGTCCCCCAAATAAGCCACGGGAAACGTGAACTCCGTGCTGTGGAACATCACCACTGCCCGACAGCCCTCAACACTTTCATGTGTGCTAAGATCCAGAAACTAAGGTCTGTTCCCTCCTCTCCCACCCCACTCCCAGGAACCCTTCAGGTGAGAGGTGTGCACACACTGGAGCCCGAGATGACTGTCACAGCTCATCTACAACATGGTGGCTGCCTGCTCTACCAGGAGGCATTAGGAATCAGTGCTACCAGCCCAGCAACCTCTCGGAGCCTGGAGAAAGGCAGGCAGGACACAGACTTGAAGCGATGGTGCTCTGGCTCCAAGAAAGATGAAAAGGCACTGCAGCTGCTTTCCCTCCCTTTTCAGTCCTGGAACTGCAGCAAAACCATTCACTGCAGATAGGCCCTTCTAGAAGGGTTTACAGTCTCTGCCTGCCCCACCCCCAAAGCCATAACAAAAATGTCTATAACGTTTGTTGAATTACCTTGGAGTCAATCTTCCATTACTATTAACATTACTGTTACTATTATTATTACTGTTGAGATAGGGTCCTGCAGTGGAACGCCCCCCCCACCTTCTGCTTCTTCCCCAGAATGCCCTGAAAACATGCAGGTGCCACCATGCCCGACTCTCAGGAGGCAATCTTTTTCTCATTTGGCAGCACTGGGGTTTGAACTCAAGGCCTTGAGCTTGCTAGACAGGCTTTCTGCCACTTGTGCTGCACCTCCTGCCCTCTTGGAATCAATCTTCATGGGTCCTGAAGACCAAGAAGAAGGGCAGCACTATGCTCCAGCGTCCAGGGCCTCACAAGGATCACCAAGCCTGTGCAGACCACATGAACGACCTTACCACCAGCAAAGGAAAGCAGCCAGCTAAGAGTCACCAGCAGCGCTCCTGCTCCTCCAGTGAGAGAAACCTGGGCAACCTGGCCAAGCCGCAGACAAGCCTGCTTCCATCTCAGCATATTAAAAAAGTGATCTCAATGGCCACTTCCTGGTCTCCCAGCAAACCTTCCCTTCCACCTGGATGGCCTGCGTCTTCCTATTGTCTGATGCTGCCAGGGGAGAAAAAGGACCCCTGCCCCCACTGCCAAGGCACCGGGGAGCCAATGGAGGGTCACCCGAGGGGGAGGGGGAGGGGGAGGGCTCTCCACCCACAGTAGCCTTGGCAAAGAGCTCCTGAGACAGGGACCCCCTGGAGCTCACCCTGACCCTCTAGGAGGTCTAGGTCACCACCAAGCGCCAAGCTGCGAGCCCCAGGTGGGAGAGGAAGACGGCGGGAGTGGGGTTCCTGGGAGGATGGCAGAGAGAACAATCATCTCTAATTGACAACCAAAAAAAAAAAGAACAGAACAAAACCCGTCCAGCTCTGGCTGGGTCGGGGCTGGGAGAGCACCGAGGCCCAGAAAGACAACAAGAAGGCTCCGGCCCTGCCCGGGACCCAACCCCTTTCCCGAGGCCGGCGACCCCGGGCACAGTCCCAGGGCCGGGGTGGGGGACGCTCGGGGACCCGGACCCTCAGCTGGGGACAGGCGAGGCCGGGGCTCGCGCAGGAGCCAGCAAGGAGCGTCCAGTCGGGGAAAGGGAGGACGACCCCTCTCCTGACGCCCTCCTCCGCACTGAAGGGTCGGGGAGCCCCGGGGCGCCCCGCAAGTCGCGCACCCCCGGACACCAGTTGCTTCGCGGGCCGCCTCGCTCCCCTCCCCCCCGGGAGGGCTTCCTGGGGGCGGGGGTCGCCTCGGGTCCCCCGGGGGCGGGGGGCGGGCGACAGCGGTGAGCTCCGCGAGGAGCGACCGAGGGTCGGCCGGCCGGGGCCGGGGAGGAGGCAAAGCTCGGGCTGCGGTCCCCCGCCGGCTCCCCACGCCCAGGCCGCACCAAAGCCTCGGCCTCACGTAGGGAAGGCCGCCGGGCGGGCCGCGCCGGCTCCGGCCCGGGTCCGGGGGCGCGGAGGCCGGGATGGCAGCGGGCCCCCCGGGGCGGAGCCCGGCGGGCGAGGGTCCCCGAGGAGGGGGGAGGGTCCCGAGCGCACGCGGCCGCCGTCCCGGCTCCGGGCCGGCCGAGGGCACTCACGTTGCTCTGGGAGTCGATGGCCTGCAGCAGCCGGTCCCTGATCTGCTGCGGGGACGCCGGAGCCGCTGTCATTGCCTGGGCGAGGCGGGGGGGAGAGGCCGGGCCAGCGGGCGGGCGGGCTGCGGTGGGGACGCGGGTCAGTCACTCGCCGGCCTCCGGGAGCGGAGCCGCATGTTCCCCGCGGCGCCAGAGGAGGTGGGGGCGCGCGGGGTGGCGGAGAGGGGAGCCGGGGCCGGAGCGCGGGCCCGGGCCGCCGCCGCCGCCGCCGCCGCCGCCGCCGCCGAGGGAGGAGGAGGAGGAGGAGCCGCCGCCACCGCCGCCGCCGCCTCGAGAACCAAACTCCACTGAGCAGCCCCCGCGCGGAGCACGCTGGGTAACTCGCGCCGCACGCAGCGTCGGCGCCACGCTGAGGAGATTGGGAGATGGGGGGGGGGGGAGGAAAGGCCGGAGACGCCGGGCTTGGGCGGGGCCCGCGCGCGCGCGCCACGCCCCGCGCTTCTGCGCAGGCGCCGGTGGGCGCGCGCAGGCGCCTTGGCCCGGACCCCCCGCCGCCCGACCCAGAAGAGCCGTTGGGTGGCGGTTGGGCGGGGCAACGGCCGGCGTCGGAGGCCCCGCCCCCGGGCGGGGTCGGCCGAGGGGAGCGCGCGCTCCGCGTCGGGGAGCCCGGACGCTCCGGGGGGCACCGGCCTCGGGCTGTGGGCGGGGGCGGAGGTTCCCCGCGGCGTCCGTGACCGCAGGGACCCGGGAGGGCGGGTGGGGGCCGCGCGGCCTCGAGCGGGGCCGCGGGAAACGCCCACCTCGGGCACCTCGCCCAGCCGGGTCCGTGAGGCCCGACTTCCGCCCCGGGCCGGGAGCGCTGGGCGAGCCGACGCCGCGGAGCCGAAGGCCTCCCTCCGGTCCGCGCCGCGCGTCTGGCGGCGGGGAGGGGGCTGGGGGCCCGGGGCCGGGGCCCGGCTCCCCGGAGAGAGTCGCCCCTTGTCGGGATCGTCACCGGACGGAGCCCCGGTTGGGAGGGGCCCGCGGGGCGGCGGCCACCGGCCTGGCACTTGGCCGGGGGCGGGGCGGTCCGGCCACGCGCGGAGCCCGCCCTCCCTCCCTCCGCCCTCCGCGATCGCCCTCCGCGATCGCCCTCCGCGGCGCCCGGCGCACCAGCAAAGTAAGTGGCTCCGCGGCCCGCGGCCGGGCGCGGTGCCGCGCGCCAGCGAGCTCACGTCCCGGTCGTGGAAGCCCGGCGCGCTGGGGCCGCGCGGGCTAGGGTGAAAGCAGAGGCGCTGGCTCGGACGACCAGTCCACAGAGGCATACCGCGACACAGAAACAGCCTGGAGCAAAACTACCCACAGCAAAAGCGGCTGCGGCGGGGCCTAAGAGGCACCTGTTTTTAGCAAGCGGGGAGCCCCAAGGCTGGCCCCCCGTTGCTGCTAACACGTGTCCGGAATGAGCTGCCGGCCCCTGGCCCCTCGCGGTCCTGGCTGAAATGTATTGATTGATTGTTTTCGGTTTGGGTGCCAGCTTGAACTCATTGACTTTTTCCATTCTACTACTGGAGCCACACCTCCAGTTCTGAGGAGTTTGCTAGTTAATTGGAGATAAAATGTCTGGCCAGATTTGCCTGCCCAGGCTGGTTTCTAACCTTGACCCCTCCATCATAGATCCCACTGAGTAGAGAACAAAATCTTATGTTTTCTTCGCTTTTTTGTTGTTTTTCTTTATAAGACATAAGACAAGGTCGTACCTCCTAGCTCAGGCTGGCAGGGAGCTGTGGGCCTCTCGAAGCTAGCCTCTACAGGAGCTAGGATAATAGGATTACCCGGGTGTGTCACCTGCTCAGGGCTGCTGGCGGGTTTGTTTAAAAAAAAAAAAAAAAAAAAAAAACCTTTCTTGTATATTCACTCAAGCATGTCTTTGATCCCTGAAGGACCTAAACTGATAGGTTAAGCCTTAAGCACTGAGAGGTGTAGCCTGGCATGTAGCATTTGCTTGGGAGGCCCAAAGGCCTGGGTTCCATTCCCAAGGGGGAGGTAGGAAGGAGGGAAGGTTGGGGGTTCTGCTAGCTCACACCTGTAATCCTTGCTACTCTGGTGGTTGTGATCTGCCAGCCCTGGTCGTTTGTGGGGCTTGAACTCTGGGCCTGGGCCCTGTCCCTGAGCTCTTCACCTCAAGGATAGCCTTCTACTACTTGAGCCACAGTGCCACTTCCAGTTTTCTGGTGGAATTGGAAATAAGAGTCTTGAGGACTTTTCTGCCCAGGCTGGCTTCGAACCTCAATCCTCAGATCTCAGCCTAAGTGGCACTATAGCTCAAAGTTACCCTTGAGCAAAAGAGCCCAGGCACTGAGTTCAGGCCCCACAACTGACAAAAATTAGTAAATGAGGGCCGGGAATGTGCCTCAATGGTAGAATGCTTGCCCAGTATGCATAAAGACCTGGGTTCGGTTCCTCAGTACCACATAAACAGAAAAGGCCAGAAATGGCGCTGTGGCTCAAGTGGTAAAGCACTAGCCTTGAGCTGAAAAGCCCAGAGTTCAAGCCCCACTACCAACAACAACAACAAAGTGGTTAAGCATGGAGTTCAGAGTTCTACTTGATTTTAGGACTTCCAATTTTATTGCTGTTTTTGTTTTTAAGGTAGCATCTCACTATGTAGCCTAGGGTGCTGTTAAACTCACAGAGTAGGCCAGGCCATTCTCAAATTTACAATCCTACTTCCACTCTATAAGTGCAGTTCTGTTCACTTTAGAAGTGAAACCAGCCAAGTGTGGTGGTGTATGCCTGTAATCCCAGCACTCTGGAGGCAGAGGTAGAAAGAAAAAAAAAAAAAAACCCATGTGAGAGACAGCCATTAAAACCTAGTACTCAAGTCAGGCACCGAGGGAAAAAGCCTGTAATACTGGCTACTCAAAAGGCTGAAATCTGAGGATAGTGATTTGAAGCCAGACTGGGAAAGTTTGTGAGACTCATCTCTAATTAACCACCATTAGCCAGAAATGGAGCTCAAGTAGCAGAGCAAGAACCTGGGGCAGAAAAAGCAGAGAACGTATGTACGAGGCCCCAAAGGTTCAAGCCCCTGACACGGGCAAAATAAAACCACACTGCACACACGTTAACCTTCAATGTTTTATTAAAATATTTACATATGATACACTGCCGTCCCTTCAGCAGGAGAGAGCGGCCTGGGAAAGGTGCAGAGCACCCAGCAGCACACACCCTGCACCCAGGATTCTGTGCAGCCTTACATGTCACTTCCCTGGACCCAACTTCATCCAAACACAGATAACCAAACACGGTAGCTCACTTCTGTAATCTGAGCTACTCAGGAGGCTGAAATCAGGATCATGATTCAAAGCCAGCCTAGGCAGGAAAGTCTATAAGACACTGATCTCCAGTAAACCACCAGAAAACAGGAAGTGGCTCTGTGGCTCAAGTAGTAGAGCGCTCACCTTGAGTTAAAGAGCTGGAACAGCGCCCAGGCCCAGAGTTCAAGCCCCATGACCCACCAGAAAAGAAAAAAGCAATGCATAGTAAGGAGATGGCGTCAGGACTTGTGGCCCCTGCCATGTGCTGATGGGTAGAGACAGCACGGCTCCCAGCCCCCAGGAAGCGTGAACAGAGGAGGCACAGCTGTGCTGTGGGGCTGTCCACCACCCACACACAGCACCCACCACTTCCCCAGACACCCGGTCCCGTGGGCTGACCACAGCTGCTCCCGCGTGCCCTTGACCCCCAGGGACCCGCTCCCAGTGTGCCAGGTAAACGCACTCTGTGCTACAGGGACTTGCCACTTCAGCCCACTTCCTCCCAGAGACGCAGGATTGGGGCGGGGTGCGCATGTGTGTGTGTGTGTGTGCACGCACACATGGACAAGTCCAGGGGCCACCTTCTATCTGGGTCAAGTTTCACAGCCACAATTGAGCACAATTCTATGTGTGTGGGGGAAAACCTGGGCTCTAGCTCCATAAAACAAACCCTGGGAAATCCGCACCTGTCCTGCCTGCATGAATGTTAAGACACGTTTCATAATAAAGACAGGAAATGGAGGGCCAGGTGCTGTTGGGCACACCTGTAATGCCAGTTACTCAAGGTGGAGGATTGCACTTGCGGACCAGCCTGGGCAAAAAGTTAGACCTCTTATCTGAATAAGCCGGGTGTGACAGTGCAGGCCAGACAACCCAGCAGGGACCGAAGCACAGAATGGGCAATGGCAGCCCAGGCTTCCGCTGGGGTGGGAAGCAGAGCCTCATCTTAAGTAAAGAGCTGGGTTCATTGTCACTCGGCTGCATTGTGCCAGCCTCGCAAATGCAAGGCCCCGAGTTCAAACCCTGAATTCAAGACCTAATGCTCTTGCCTGGCTTTTTCACTTGAAGCTGGTGCTTTACCTGACACGTTCATCCTGCCACTCCTGTCATGGGGCTTGAACCCCAGATCTGGGCACTATCCCAGAGCTTTTTTGCTCTAAGCTAGCATTCTTAGCACTTTGAGCCACAGCGCCAGTTCCTGGTGGTTTGTTGGAGTTAAGAGTCTCACGGACTTTTCTGTCCAGTCTGGCTTTGAACTGTGATCCTCAGACTTCAGGCTCCTGAGTAGGATTACAAGCATGAGCCACCAGGACCTGGCGCTTCTGGCTTTTGAAGGGTAGTTGGAAGATGGGATTCTCACTTTCCTGTCCCAGGTGGCTTCAAACCTATGATCATAGCCTGCTGAGTCACTTAGTAGGATTACAGGCATGATACACCAGCCCCCTGCCTGACATTTTTCTCACAACTGAGGTGACGTGGGGCAGGGTGAAGGATCCTCAGCTTATCCAGCTTCACCAGGAGAAAATGCCACCACCTCCAACCCCGGCCCCGTTCCCTCCTCAGAGTGGGCATCTCTCGCATAAACCCCAGCTCCCCTCACACGGGAGGACCGGCCGACATCAGGTGGCCACTGGACACACAAGGCCAGACTGGACAGGAGGGGAGGTGCAGGGAGGACCATGAGCCAGGGCTAGCCCTCAGGAAAAACATCGGTCCCCAATCGAAAGGTCTGGGGGGCGGAGCACCTGCCTGGCTAGGAAGCTCGGCTCTGAGGTCAAACTCCAGTGGCTGGTTTGGGGGAGGGGGGATAATCTGGGCAAAGTGGTACACACTTAATCTCGGCTAGGTGGGAGGCTGAGGCAGGAGTTCAAGGCCAGCATGAGGTCCGTCATGAAGCCCTGTCTCAAGCTGGAATCAGACCTCCAACCTCAA